CTTACTCCTGAGTCTATCCTCTGCAAAACTTCCAAGTTCTGTAAGATGTTCCTACACTCACAGAGGTCAGAAGGTACTAGCAAGTGTTATCAGCTAGGCAAAAATTCCAAATGGATGAATAGGGTATGGCAAAGAATGTAAGCCATATTTTCATGTCTGTGTCATTACTGACACACAAGAAAGGGTTCCTGATGCAGGCCATAGGATCACCCTGAGATTTCATGTCTCCAAATAATTTGCTTCTTTGGGTCTTAGTTTTCTTAAGAGTGCCATTAAGTTCTTGAACCAAGTTATTTGTAAATTATTTTGTAGCTCATGATACAAAGAGTTACAAGGTGAATGTCTTTACTGTATTGGATTGGCTTCTTCACAAGTCATTAAAAGCAAAAGCAGCTTGTTTGTGATTCCTCCTCTTTTTAGAGCATAATTCTGCTTGCTCACCAACATCTCTGCTGATGACTGTGCCCTCTAGTGATAGAGTCAGTTAACAGGACTGGGCTGGCACAGACTGTCCCAGAAGATGGGGAAAAACGAGCAAATTTCATGTCACCCAAAAGACAGGCCAAGTGCGCCCATGGCTGTAGATACCCTAGACTGTCATTGATACAAAAGCCACCCAACCCTTTTCTGCAATTTTGCTTTCCATGAGTTTAGCTACTCACAGTTAAACTGCTTAAAAAGACTAAATGGAAATTCCAGAATTAACACATTTTTAAAAATGTGTGTTGTTTTGAGTGGTGTGATAAAATCTCACAGCACCAGCTCTGTCCTGCCTGGAACATGAATCATCTCTTCGTCAAGAACCTGTCATATTCTCCCATTAGTCACTGAAGAGCCTTCATAGCTATCAGATCAACCTTTAAGACATTAAGACTGCAGTGTGTGTATGTTTAAGTTACCCTTATTTTACTAAGTAATGTCCTGAAAACATAAAAGTAGTGAGCTGGTCATATTATTCAGTATACATATTATTTACTGTGACTGAATTGTAGGTTAAAATTCATCATGGTTATGTAAGAGAAAACATAGTACATGTACAGTACAGTACTAACTGCAATTCTAAGCAACCCCCCCAACCATTTTGGAAAATCTTCTTCATGGATAAAGGAGGACTACTATACACCAAGCACACTTCTGAATATAAAGATATTCATGATAACATTTAAATTCATTTTTTTTACTTAGTAATTCAAAAGATAACTAAAGACAACCTGCTACATACCTACTGTGGATAATGAAACAGAATTCCTTTAAAAATATCTGTCAAGGAGGTACTAAGATTTCAAATTACACATTCTTTGTCGGTTTCACTTGCTGGTGGATTTACCAGTGGGTGGGTTTTGACCAAAACCCTTTACTCTGCTGAGCTTAAGCAAGGTCCCCACATTTCTGTGTTCCCTAGACTCACAATAACAACATGCGACTCATCTCTTCATTAACTATTTTGTACATGAGAAAACATTGGTGCTATCCTTGACCATGAATCTCATCTGTAAATAAATCTTAGTTACATTTTTACAAGTACCTAAAAGAGGAAATGGATTGTAGTGATGTCAGCAGAGCTTAGGTTACACAGAAGGCCTTCCCGGCCATGCAGTTGTTAACCGGCATGTGGCGAGTAGTTAAAAAGAGAGGGATCTTTTGAGTAGTTAAAAAGAGAGGAAAGAGTCGTGCTGGGAGTCATTTTACTCTAATCCCAAGTGGAGGAATACGGCAGAGATAATAACCACTGAAGTTTGCTTAAGGTTAAATATAGCTGGACGAGTCCAAACAAAAGTATGGTGACAAATCAGAAACATGACTGTCCTTTGGGTCACAGAACTGACTGGAAAGGGATAAAAGGACCGTATGAGGCGATGGAAAAGTCCTACAACCTGCTGGGTGTCAGATACATGCCAAGATTCCCCAAGCGATGCATGTTAAATTTATGATTGTACTGATTACACATTGTATTTCAGTTGAAAAGCAGATGTCATAGTCTTTAAAAACAACAGGTATCACCACTCTAGGGAGAGAGAGGAGAGGATGCGGTACCACCTCAATAGCAGACAGAATTTCAATGAATAACGAGGGAGGAAAGAACGGCACCAGCGTCCGCGGTTTCCATACTGAGGAGCTACAGTGACACTTCAAGTGAATGCCCCTCTCTGACTGGCACATTGATTGCCACAGAGTCAAGTCAACATCACTGCTTAATGGACAGACAGTATGGTATAGGAGAGAAGAGAGAGAATGGCCCTAAGATCATTGGTCCTACTGACTGCCTTTAGGTGGGATTGTAGCAAGTTATTCTGGGTCATCACCAGATATTTTTTCCCATGGGCCCGTAGGGAAAATGCTACTAGAATTAGCAAAGAGTGCACCAACCAGAGAGGAAAACAAACAACAAGTGAAGAAAAAAAAATGTAAGACTATTTAAAAAGGCAGCCTCACCTAGGCTGACCCATCAGCAGCCTTCCCTTTGCAGAACTCAAGTAGTGTTGGGGATGCCACCTCCCGGCAAGTGCTTCACAAACCCTAGCTTACCTAAATACACGCAAAGTTACCTACCCATCTGGAGGTACTAGGTTGCTTACTGTTTGCTTAGATTAATACTGCGGTCTGCCTGACATATGGGAAACACCAGTAGATAACACAGATAACTGGGTAAATGGAATATTCTTTAGTCTGACAAATGACGTGTGGGTCCAACCTTATCAGTCCATGATTTTCTACACAAAACCACAAAGTCTTTCCCTTTGTTTTGATTCAATGGTCTAAAAGTGAAATCCCCCAAGAAGCACTGTACCAAGACCATTTTAACTCTTTGTGCTTTCTACCCTAGGCTAGGATTTTCCAGCGTCCGTTAGTTTAGTACAGAGAGATTTTACTGACAAGACATTCTATGATAACAAAACCTTCCTTGTAATTCCTTGGATCTAAACGGTATTAACCCTATAGGGATTATGGTCCATTCTAGTGATTTGTAATCTATTACTCAGATTCTCTGTTTAAGCGCAGTTCCCCAAAGGAACCTTTCTGTCACCAAAAGTCTTTTCAAATCCCTTAAAGCAGCAGTTCTAAACCCTTTGGGTGCTGAATGACCCTTTCACAGGGGTCACCTAAGACCATCGAAAGACACAGATATTTACAATTCATAACAGTAGCAAAATTACAGTTATGCAGTATCAACAAAAATAATTTTGTGGTTGGGGGTCACCACAACATGAGAAACTATATTAATGGGTCACAGCATTAGGAAGATTGAGAACCACTGCCTTAAAGAATCTAGGAAGTTGCTGGCATACACAAGCAACCCCCCCTCTCACACACACTCCTGCTCCAAGGGATTTTTTATGTTATTTCTAAACAACACAATTCATCTTTGTTTCATAGCCTCAACATCATTCAAGGTAGACAATTCTTACCCATATTATCATTAATTACCACCCCACATTTAAGACAAGATCTCACTACATAGTCCAGTCTGGCCTTCAATTTGTCATATAGGAGGGAGCTGGGGATGGCTTAGATGGCCAAGTGGACCTGAGTTCAGATTCTCAGCACCTATATAAAAGGGCCACATAGTACTGCATGCTTGCAATCTGTACACTTGGAAGGTAGAAGACAGGAGGAGCCATAGACTTTGCTAACCGGCCAGTCTAGCTCAATTAATGAGCCCCAGGTTCAATGAGAGATCCTTTTGCAAATACTAAGGAAAGAATAATTGAAGAAATCACCTCATGTTGACCTCTGATCTCTATATAACATGTGCACACATATGTAAGTGCACCCACACCTACCTCCCAACACATGAACAGGAATACACACACACACACAGCCAGTACACACACACCACCAGTGCACCCACACCTACCTCCCAACACATGAACAGGAATACACACACACACACACACACACACACACACACACACACAGCCAGTACACACATCCCACCTCAAAACCAGAAAACTTGTGACCCTCCTGCCACAGACTCATAAGGGACTGAGAACATATTACCACCATGTAGTTACTGTTTGGGATCCTAACTATTGAGGCAGAACAATGATAATTTACTACTTATGTCTCTGCTGATAAAAAATGAGCTAGTTGTTGATTTTCTGTAAAGATCATTAAATATACTCTGGGACTAAATGTACAATAATGAACTGCATGGTACTAAAAGGCCATCATTTTACATGCTTTGAAAAGTAAAGCATACAGATTTGTATTAATTTGGTAAAAACCAAATTCCCTCTTTCTTCCAGTTAACACCCCAGTGCATAGAGGTGTCAGAGTAGATCAAGAGGAGGGGAGGGGTGGGCAGACCGAGAAGGAAGACTGAGTCAGGGAAAGAACAGAGGAGAGCAAGAAAAGAGACACCATAACAGAGGGAGCCGTTATAGGTTTAAAGAGAGATCTTTCCAGAGATCTACAAGGGTGATCCCAACTAACAGAGGGAGCCGTTATAGGTTTAAAGAGAGATCTTTCCAGAGATCTACAAGGGTGATCCCAACTAACAGTCTAAGCAAACACTAGATTACGGAGGAGTGTGGGTCAGGCCTTTCAGGGCCAGGAGGGATTGGATGGGTAAGTTACAAAGGAGGTAAGGTACTTACACCCTCACTTCAAAGACAAGCATGAGAGCTTGGAAATGGCCTCAAGTTTTATGTTCTCTATGTTTATGTTCTCTGTTAGAAGAGAGCCATTAGGAGCTGGTGATCACTTTTTTACTTTTCCCAAAGATTTCAAGTACTTTATCCAAACCAGTGTATTCGAGAGGAGAGAAGCAACCTGGAGCCTGGGATGGGGTTGACGACGGTGTTGACGACCGTGGGCTAGCTAGCACAGCAGGTGCGGCGGGCGGGAAGGATGCTCAGGACAGAGCCACCGCCCAGGGAAGGCCAGAGCCAACAAGCACCTGCCACACTGCTCGTCTCCACAGATCTGCTCATGTCCACTGACCACACGCCACGGAGCAAGACAGACAGGAGGGATCGGGCCACCAGACTGTCACTCACCCACGCTCCTTTGACCTCTTCAGAGACATCCGTTCCATCCTGAAACGGAAAGAGGAAACACAAAAGGGTCACACCCACAACCCTCTCTGAAAATGAAAACAACAAGGTCAATCACAGTCAATCACACCTCTTGGTATTTCAAACGCGGGCAATAAAAGCTGAAAGCCAGGTGACGCTAGTACTGCCACTTTCAATAGTTGTCACAGGCAGGGGACGTAGGAACACCACTGTGGTCAAAACTGTCAGACCGACCACAGTTGATAAAAAGGTAAAAGGCCTATGCCAATTTACAGACTTTAAGCCCTTTCAAATATTTTTAAACATTTTTTTTCAAAAAAAGGAAAATTTTTACTTGTTTACATTACATTTACAAAACATTTACATGAAACGTTTTACCTACATGCAAGTAAGTGCACCATATGCGTGACTATTAGTTTCCTGGAACCATGTGGGTACTGAGAATTGGACCTGGTTCTTCTGGAAATACAAGTACTCTTAACCCAAGCCATCTCTCCATACTCTTCCTTCAAAATTCCTATCATCCTAAAATAGTTCAACCATGGCTTACAGATACTATTAAGATGTTTAGCGTGCTTACAAGGTAGCTGTGAGTCTCTGGCTTTCAAAATTCTTCAGGTATGGAGTGTCTACTCTGTGCTCAGCAGTGCTCTAGGTACTCAGCAGACACAGACCAAATGAGTCCCACCCTACACACTAGTGGAGTCTTCTCTTTCCTTAGTGAAGGTTCTCTGCCATCTCTATCGGAGTCATGGCAGCATACGGGGCTCTTTCTTTTGACCTCAACGAGGAGGCTGGCAGCCACAGGCGATATCGTGTGCCCTGTACAGAGCAATGTACTTACATCATTTGTCCAGAAGTTAATGCCCGTGCCTCTTCGCCGGTCCTTAGTTCGCCTCCTCTCTCGGACAGACAGCCTGTTAGAGGACTGCTCATCCAAATCATCTTCTCTCTCTGCCCAAAGATAACACAGAATGTGGATCTTACAAACCTGAGACATGCACACCGGGCAGTGGCTTCTGAAGTTACCTATACATACCATTCTTGTCCATTTCTTTTGCAGCTGTGGCGTTTACGGTGGCCTCTGGGTTCTCAGAATCAGGGACTGAAGCTCTACTTGTCCGTAGTAGATGAGAACTAGTATAGAGTAAAGGTCTTGATGCAGAAGGAGACTCTGGTGGGGTTGTAGTCTTGTCTGCTTGAGCTGGGCACCTTAGGCGACGATAGATAGGCTGGAAATAGTCCACAGGATGAGATGTTAGTGGTCACGTTCACCCAAAGGATAAAGACAGTGGGCTTCTTCCCCAAAGGATAAAGACAGTGGGCTTCTTCAAAATGGGCCTTTTCGATGTGAAGGAGACTTAGTAATAGTTGATGTTCGATAAACATATATCAGCTGAATTAGCATTAGTAAGTGGTCAGGAACCAACAGTTTCTGAAGTCTTATTTGGAGGGTACCAGGATGACCACAGCAGCTGAGACAAACTGTGCCTAAAATGACCGAAGGGCACTAAATAGCTCAGGTAGGAATAATAATAAAAAGTCTTTTGACCTTGAAAATGGGAAACGCAACACTGATTTTGAGATGGAGTGCTCAACAACAGAGTTCACGGGAAAGAAAAAGCTCAGAAGTTTGAAGAAACAAGTGTGCTACAATGATGGAGGATAGAGAGCAAGAATGACCGTTCCAGCGCCGTCCCAACACTCCACCAACACGCCACAGGACTCGCTGCTGTCCTGGGCATCAAAGCCAGGCCTGGCACACGCTAGGCAAGGATGCGCCACCAACCACCTTCCCGCTTTCCCGAAGCTTTTGCAAATTTCTATTTTCCCCTTTGAATGTTTTCTGAGAGTTAAAACACAGAACAATTAGCCTTAGCCTAATTAACTGAAGACTCTCCAAGGCATAAATTCTTACTATAAATTAAGTTCACAATGTAGAGGTTACGTACTTTTGATTTTTAAGTCACAAAGCCAGAAACAATGAGGTAAGCAAGTCTGAGGGTCAGACAGAACTTGGCTTAAAGTCTGCTTCTGCAGGAAGTAGCTATGTGACCTTGAGTAAGCTAACTTGACTGAGCCTCAGCATCCTCGGGATGTAACACAGGGATAAACCATCCTCAGACAGGATGCTGAGGGTTTAGACAACGTGTTAGGGACCTGAGCACTACATTGTGTCTTTTAGGAATGGTTCAATGAAGCAAGGTCAACCAGCATTTACATACACCACCACCAGTGAAGGTTCACCAAATGGGCCAGCGACAGGAGCCCACCTCTTCCTCCAGGCTCGTGCCCAAAGGTGGCTGCTCCTCCCCAGCTTCCTTTGCTGGGGCAGCTGATGGCTCCTGCTTCTTGCTGCTCCCTTCGAGCCCACCAGGGTCTTCAAGCTTCTCAGCAGGCTGTTCCTGAGCCTGTCTTTCTGCCCTCGACCTGCTCAAAGTCCTCTCTGCTTCCTGAAGGTCTGTCAGGGTGACGCCCTGGGAAAATATCACGTCACATGGTAAAGACAGCTTCACACTAACACACAGGATTCTTGAGTGGGGAAACTGGCCCCAAAACAACCAAACGAGGCTCCCAAGATGCAACTGACGGCCATTTCTAGAACACATGCTTAAAATAAGCAACACAGTGTGCAGAGAACTCAGACCTAAATCTCTACATTATACTCTGAACTAATACTTTAGCTTTCCCAACTTGGTCTTCCAAAAATAGGTCAACAGTGGTATCTGCTGTTTCAGATGTATTTGGTTCATATCAAACTGTGCTCAATTATTTGAGAACACATTATCCTCTCCTAAGATCAAATGGTTACCTTCTTATTCTAAATACTGGAGAAAAACCCATTTTAAAAACCTGGTTCAAAAAGGTAAAAATTCATACTTAGGCTAAAACAACAAAACTTTCTGAAACACTATATTGGCTTTTCTCTAACCACTTCCTGAGTGACTCCGGGAATCACAGAGACGCGCTAACAACTGTTGCTCCCCTGGGATCGTTGGAGCAGCGGGCCAGAAGCAAAGCAAGCGACAGAGACTTGGGGCAGGAGGGCACTAGGAAGAGAGTGAGTGGTTATGTTCTCGCAGCCTCCGAGCAGGCATGTCCCGAAGCTAAAAGGCAGCCGCTGAGTACTAAATCCATAGCACCCTTTCATTTTATAGAATCATGTGTACACCTGGCATTGTCCGCATACACAGGTACACTTTTTTTGTGGAGGCCAGAAGGTGGTGTCGGGTCCCCTGAAGCTGGGGTTGCATGTGAGGCACCTGACATGGTGGGCTCAGAAAGCACCCTCCACTGCAGGACTCTCTCTCTCTCCAGCCTCAAAAGAACCTTTTAACTACTCATAATTTGACTCATTCGTTTTAAATTACTGATGTCTACAAGCAAACTACAGAGGCAAGTCAAGTGATTCCTTTCAAGAAACTTCCTTCAAAGAAGTATTTAATTTTAAGTTGTAAGTCTGCTATGGTGGATGTGTACCATGTGTATACAGAAGCCTGTGGAAACCAGAGAGGGAAATGGGTCCCCTGGAACTGAGTGACAGGCAGTAGATGCTAGGGACTGAACCCAGGTCCTCTGCAAGAGCAGTAAGTGCTCTTAACTGCCGAGCTAGCAATCCAGCACCCTTTCCAAGAACCTTTTAATATAGCAGAAACCACATGGAAAAAAATAGATGATCATCACAAGATACTGTGCATATTAAGATAGAGACACTGGGACAAAGGGAGATAGCCCAGTGGGTAGGAGCGATAGGACCAGGGTCTGGATCTCCAAAACCCATGTAACTAACACACCTATGGAGAGAAGGCAAGGCGAGTCTGGAGACTGCCCGGACGCTTGCTAAGTAAGCTAGTTTGCCTGGTCTGTTTGTGGTGAACAAGAGACCCTGCCTCAAACAAGCAATGACTAAACTGCGAAGTTGTCCCCTGACCTCAAAAAAGCACTGCTCTGGAAGGGTGTGAGGGGTAAGAGGCATCACAGCTAAAGGGAGCCTGTCCAAAGACTCAGAAACGGGGGGGGGGGGGGGGATGGCGCCGCTGTCTGCCAGCATTTTCGCAAATCTAAAGGGTGTGGGAGCGGGAGGCGGCCAGGGAAATAGTGGGACGGACGAAGGCTGGGTCATTTGCCACATTAGACAACTGGACACTGGCGCTCTGAATAATGTTTGTCTGGGGACCCGAGGTCCCTTTGAGAAAGTCAGTCACATGTTTTGATGGGGTTGAGGATCCTTCCTAGTTCTGATGAGAACCTTGGCTCTTTAGTGAGTCCTTTGCTACAAGATTTTTTTTTTTTTTAAAGAAACAGGGTCTTTATGTAGCCCAGGCCAACCTCTAAATCACTATGTAGCAGAGGCCAGCCTTGAGTTCCTGCTTCTACTACCTCTGCCTTCCAAGAGCTGGGATTATGGGCATGGCTTCATTATAAGATACTTACATGTCTTTGGCTCTTCCTCTTCTAATTATGTGTCTTTCTCTGTCTATTTTTCTCTGTCTCTTCGTAAGTACATTTAGAGCCATTTAAGAGTCGTCTATATTCCCCGCCATTACTTCTCGCTCATTGATAAACCCCATTTTGTATTTATATGCATACATACTCTGCTTACTGATACCCTGTACACTGAGGGAAAAGAGGATAGTAAAATATAATCAGTGGGCTACTGGAACGCTCCAGTGGGTAAAGGCACGCCACGCCCCCAAGTCTGAGGACCTGAGTTTGACATGTGGGACCTGCATGATAGAGAACCGAATCCTGTGAGTTGTCCTTTGACCTCCGCCACGTGTGCCATTCCACATTTTAAAACAACGTACAAAAACCGTCTACTTCACGTTCACTAGAGTGGTTATTATACTAAAACCCCCAGACTATAAAGCAGATATTGAGCGAGAACTAGGAAAGGAGGGAGCCTGTGGTTGCGGACAGGAGCGGGGAGCAGGGCAGCTATTGTAAGAATGCACCACAGTATTAAAAAGAGGACTACCATACAGTCCAGCGCATGTTTATATGCATGTACACAAAGGACTGAAGCAGGGTCTGGGAGATGCGTGAGCAGCCATTTGCACAGTGGTACTGTTATGGGAGCCATGCGTCTACTAAAAGGTGGGTGGTAAACAAATTGTGGATTATACATATAGCCTTAAAAAAAAATGATGCCATGCAGACAACACTGATGACCCATAGCATTATGTTACAGGAAATGAGCCAAGGGAGGCCAGGCCAAGCTGCTGGAAACCCTGGAGCAGTGGGTACAGGAAGCTGTGAGCCGCCTGACTGATGTGAGTGCGGGGGACTGAGCTCTGATTCTTTGCAAGAGTAGTGAGTGCCAACTGCTGAGGCATTATTCTAGCCTCTGTGCCATCACTTTTTAATTGCAGATAATATTTCACTGTAAGAACATGGCACATTTTGTTCATTCATTGGTTAATGAATATACATTTTTATAATAGGATAGTCCTGTGTATTATGGAGTACATTACTGGGTTGGTTCTATTTTTTTTTGGCTATTTTGAATAATTCTATTATATGATTGTCTATACAAAGTTTTTGTGTGAAATTATGCTTTTGCATATTTATCTAAGAGTATAGACTGTGTACAAACATAAACTCTTTGTTTAACATTTTCAAACGGCTATCGATTTCCTTAGAGATTCTGTGAAGGGCTACAAAGCTTCTTTAAGTTCTAAGCAATGCTGGAGTGATTAGTCTTGAGCCTGGGGGGGGGCAAAGGCGAGGGTGGGTGGAAACCGCTATAGACTTGGTTCTATACTGTGCAGCCTGAGAGACGATGACAACTGTGACGAAACAGCCAGAATAAAAGCATTCATAAATAAATGAATAAATGCGTGCTTCCACTGGGAAGGCAGAGAGAGACTAGACAGCACTGGGGTGTGGCAGAGTCTTGCTTACCTGAGTAGACCTTCGCGTCTGCCGAGCTTGTCTGGAGCGTGCTTTCCGTAAAGACTCTGCCTCCTCATCCCGTACAGGAGTCAGATAAGATCTGTGGGAGACAGGGAACAGCAGGTAAGACCTTTGCTCCATGCACTGCAGGAGCAAAAAGACTCCACCCACTGAAGGGATTCCCACGTGCTGAAAATAGATGTCATTAAAGGTCAGACGGCCAGAATGCTATATGCCACCAGCAAATGCTGGGATATCACTCAAAATATTTGTAAATGTGTACAGAGGAGTACACCTGTAAAAAGAGAATTGAGTTTTATCTCTTCTTGTCCTTCCAATTTTTCTTTTTCTTTTCTCGCCTTACTGGTCCGTCCAGGAATTGCAGAGCATGCTAAAGAGAGGTGGTGACATAAGTATTCGTTCTCTGTCCCCATTCTCAGTACTTTACCACTAAAAGGGATGTTGGCTCTAAAATTTCTCTAGACACCACTCATTAAAATAAACTAAAACTGTATTCTGGTGGGGAGCAGGCTAAGGTTTGTGGTGCACTGGGGCATATGTCCTCCTGTTCACATGGAGATTATAAGGTGATGTCAAGGGTCTTCATCACTCTGTGTATGTGTGTGTGTGTGTGTGCGCGCGCGCACGTGTGTGCGTGCACAAGCAAACATTAATGTGTGTAAATTCAGGGGTGCACATCTCACTGTGTACGCATACCACAGCAATATGTATAGAGGTTAGAGGGCAACTCTGAGCATCATTCCTTAACCTTTACCTTATTGGAGACGGGCTTGCCTTACCACTGCAGATGGCAGGCCATGGGTCCAGAAGCTTTTCCTGTCTCCACGTCCTATCTCCCCACAGGACCACCTGGATCCCAGGCGAGCCGCTACGCACCCAGCTTTCATGTGGGCTCTGGGGTTGAGTGCAGGTGGTCTCACTTCTGCTCACTGAGTCGTCTCCCAAGCCCGTCTGAATTATTTTTTGAAACAAAGTCTGACTAAAACTGATTTGGCTAGATTGGCTGGCCAGTAAGATTCTGGCAAACCTCCTTTCCCTGCATCCCCAGCGACGAGATTACCGTTGTGTGCCAACACAGCTTTTTAGGTGAGTGCTAGGGATCTTAACTCGGGACCTCAGGCTTGCATAGCAAAATCATACCGGTTTCTATTTACAACTCTAAGTTTCAAACAAAAGGACCCGGGTGTTGTGTTTACCCTTTGCTTTCGTGCCTGTGTGTACATGCTAGTCAAGCATGCTATCGCTGAGCCACACATTAAGCTCATGCGGGTATGCGTGTGGTCCAGGTGTGTGTGGAAGCTGGAAACCAGTGTCAAGCGGCTTCCTTCATCAATCTGCGCTTCACTTCCTTTGAAGCAGATTCTGCACTGAACCTGGAGCTCACCAGTTCAGCTGGACTAGGCGGCTAGCAAGCCCCAGGGAGACGCCACCTCTACCTCCCCAGTTGTTGGACTACAGTGAGGCTGCTATACTCAGTGTTTATATTGGGGGTCCAAACTCAGGACCTTGTACTTACATGGCAAGCATTTTACCAGCTCAGCCATGCCCCTCAGCCCCAAAATGTGCCACTACTCTTTAAGGTTTCTACACTCAGCTGGGCGCTGGAGGTGCACACCTTTAATCCCAGCACTTGGGAGGCGGAGGCAGATGGATCTCTGTGAGTTCAAAGGAATGCAGCCTTTGATTTTCTCTTCTCATGATATAGTGGACATTGTGAGTTAAGGTTATGTGTGTTGGAATTGTTCTTTTCCAGTCTATTTTCTATAATGATACATGTATGATCTGGGTTATTTAATTTAAAACAATTCACCAATAAAAACTACCTGAGTTAGTGTTCTTTGGAGGAAGCTTTCCAATAAAATATTCAAATTCTGTAATAGGTTACATTTCTGTTTTGAAACCAATATTCTGTTTTTTCAGGGAATTTTCTCTTTTTTTATTTGGTGGTAGACAGCTTCTCATAAAACCCTTATAATAAAGTCTAATTTCTATAGCAGTTTTTTTTTTTTTATTTTTCTCTTCCTTTTTTTGAATCAGGGTTTCTCTGTATAGCCCTGGCTGTCCTGGAACTCTCTCTGTAGACCAGGTGGCCTTGAACTCAGAGATGCACCTGCCTCCCAAGTGCTGGAATTAAAAGTGTACACCACCACTGCCTGGCTTAGTAGTTATTTTCAGCAGACCAATTTGATCCAGTTCTAAAATCCTGGGTAGAGAAGACACAATTATCCCCACCTTGCAGATGAGTCAATTGAGGCCCAAGAGAGTATTAAAATAGACAGGAACACAAGGTCATTCACCAACAAACATTATCACTACGCTCTCGTGCACCCAGACTTTCCTTACTTTATTCAACAACGAAAAAACATTTGTTTCTTTCCCAAAGCATGATGACATTCCAGCTACATGGATTAATGGACCAAGACGTAGACGTATCTTCCTCTAATTCTACGAGCAGGGGGAGTGAGTAGACGGAGGGAGGTGCCTTGCCCCGGCCTTCCTCTGCTATCCTCTGATGTCTCCCTAAAGTTTGCCATGCTGAACGAACACTCTGGCTTTTATGTTTACAGATGTTGCCATCAATATGTTATAAGGCTGCTGTGAACAAATCATAAACATGAAATAACATGAGGGACTAGGTTCTCCTTTGGAGGGCACAATTGGCTCTGCAAGCAGTCAGGTGTTACTTGATGCAGAGTGGAATGGGAGGTCAACACTGGGGAATGTGTAAAATAAAAAAAAGACCGCTGGGTTCTTCTTCAACCTCTTAGGCAAAATGTTTCTCAAGACTTCAGTCATCTGTAACCATAGTGAATTCATATTTATGCTGATTGTGGAAAAAGGCCTTTACATCTTCTTGCTAAAAGCTTATTCACTGGTCTGGCCAAATACAGTCATCTCTATATTCCAAGGGGATTGTTTCCAGCGACCCTCCCTGTAGCCTAAGCCATGAGCGCTCAAGTCTCTTACAGCATTTGCAGACATTTTATACACCTTCTTTAAATATATACCTTAAAGCATCTCTAGCTTATTTCCATTGCCCAATACAATGTAAATGCTGTGAAACTGGTAGTTATATGACACTAGCTAAGGAATGGCAAGAGAAAATTATCTGCTCACATTAAGCAGAGATGTACTTTTTTTCCCCTCATGAATATTTTCAACCCAGAGTTGGTTGAATCCACAGATTCATAATTTGTGATACAGAGCATTAATTGTACTGTTTCTCATATTCTATTGGCCACTTTCTTTAGTTCCTTCAAGGGGACTTCGTATGACAATGAAATGTCCAGTAACCAGTCTAATGTAGAAGCCAGTAGCCATGTGTAGCTAGCTAGGGCAACAGAGGGCATCACTTTTAACTTCATTTGTCATTGCATTTAAATAGCCACACAGGGATGCTGACTACGACTCTGGGAAGCACAGCTCTGGAGCCCTGAGGATACCCTGAAAAGGCATTTCTCAGCTCTCTCCTTAAATGTGTACAGCACACACCTAACAGAGTTCAGGAGGACGGCGAGTTTGATGATATGCTCTTCTCCAAGTTCTTGTTTTTCTTCTGTGCTCCCCACAGGCAATATTACATAGCCTTACGCTGTTTATAATGCAGTAATTTTCAGTTTTACGACCTAGTGCCGGGGCTCCGACCTTCAGGGAATTTACGGGTCCAGCAAACAGGAAGATGTCCACGGACCAGAGCGCCTCAGAGCCACTTTCTTCTAATTGCAGTATTTATACTCTGCTGTCCCCACATGCCTTCTTCAGCCATACCACCCTGCATTCCCTTTGCCTCCCCTTGACACACAGAACTCCAAGAAAACAGACTGTTACCTCCGTGTGCAGGCCTGCATAGCAGAACGAAGGTCAAGACACGCATGGGGACCAACGGCAAGACAGGTGAGTGGCTGCCGGCAGACACTGCAGGCTCAGCACCCGCCTCCCTTGGAAACTAGAGACAGCTTGCACTGCCACTGCTACCCAGCAGGCCACAGACACAGCCTGCAATTTGCTAAGAAGCCGCTGCTAGGAAGGAGGAAGAGGGAGTGGGGAGGAGGGTAAAATCTTGGGGCCCAGCAAACCAATGGTGCTAACAGTCCCCAAAATACCATTCCATTATACTCATTATTTTTCATATACCATACCAAACTAATCAATACTCCTCGTCATTTGACAGGGGGGAGAGGAAGAGGAACTCTTCCGTATCTGCAGGAGGCAGAGCGGAGAGGTGCAGCATTCCCATCCTGGATGCTATTTCGTCTGCCCTTGGGCTGTCCACCCAAGTGAGCTGTAAATACTGCCTCACCAGAGGCTTGGCCCAGCCAGCTGGCATACGCTGAGAGAGGGAAGGAGGCAGATAAGAAAGAACACAGGGCAGGAATGCAAAGACAAATTTCAGCTCTGCAGAAAGGGGTTAAGCCTGGGTAGCAGAAGACTGTAGGCATTTCCCAGGCTGAGGGTCAGGAAGATTCCCACATCTCAGTGTGCTTTCTGCCGTTGTGATAAACACTGACCAAAAGCAACTTCAGGGAGGAAAGGGTCTATTTAGCTTACAGTCCATCTAGGGGAGCCGGCAGGGGAACTCGGGGCAGGAAGCACAGGAGAGGCTTCAGAGGAACGCTGCTTACTGGCTGGATCCCAAGCCTTCATTCATCTACCTTTCTTATACAACCCAGGGTTCCCTGCCCTGGGGTGGCATCGTCTTCAGTGGGACAGGCCCTCAGCAATCATTTAGCAACCAGGACACGTCTACAAGCCTATCTGGGGGGGGGGTTCAATTCCTCGGTCGAGGGTCCCTTTTTTCAGGTATGTCCAGGTTTGTGTCAACTGGACAGACTAGCACACTAGCACGTGCCACAAATTCCGGTATGGTTTGATTTCACCGTTTAACTGCATTCTCAGGGTTACGTGCCAGCATAGACTCTAATTGAGCATTGGTATCAGTGCTGAAGCCCAAGCAAGGGACCCACAGTATCACTCCAGTAACCAAAAAGACAAGGAAAGGTACAGAGAGAACAAAGGCAGGGGCATTTCCAAATCTTCTAGACTGGTGCCATCAGGGACAAATTTGCAAGTTCCGTTCCA